CCCCAAAACCCCAAAACCCCAAAACCCCTTTTATACAGATCTTCCTTGAACCTTATTCATTCTTTACCAAATTTGCATTAAATGTTTTCTTGACAATTGTGGATACATTGCTGTCATAGCTTCCTGGACCAGGACCAAAGCCAGCCTTACTAACTATCTTACCAAAAATAGAATCTTGATTTCTATCAGCTGCTCTGAATGCTGCTGAAGTATCAACATGCTTTGGAATAGATTTTTTGCTCATAGAATAAGATCCTGGACCTGGCACTTCCATCCCTTTTAAAGCTTGCTTCGTGTAATTAAACCTAGGTGAAATATTCTTTAACAAAACTCGGCTCTATACATTACTTGGTGGTCTAGCTTACCTCTAAATCATTGCTCAGCATTTCAGAGTCACTCTTGTGATACGATCTATTGGAGATTTGTTCTACATGACTTAGACATATTCTGTTACCTTGGTTTCTATACTTCACGGGTTGAATCCCCATTATCGGCACTAAAAGTTAAGATTAATATTACCATTCTTGTTAGTAATGAGATCGTCTTTGAATCTCTTTGATGAAGACTTAAATTGAAAAGTAGTTCTCCTTTGTTCATCCTTATTTTATCTTATCAATAGTTTGGTCAATGTAAACTCTTGCTAAGCTTCTGTTCTGAGGCACTTGTTCCTCCTCTATTGAGAGCTCATTTTTGTTTCTTTTTCCTTGGATTACCTTCTTCTCAAACCTAATATTTTGTAAGGATAGTTAGAAGAACATTTCCAAAAATAAATTATAAATAAGTACATACCTGTTCTCATTTGACCCAAAAGGATTTTTCTTATATCTCTGGGAGTACTTCTGATCAAGAGTCTTCAGCTGTTCCCTGAAACTGAGATCATAAGCTCCTGGGCCAGGTTTTTCACCTGCATTTTGGTCTTTTGCTAATCAAGGCCTCACATCTGTTGAAAGGAATGGGCTTGTTTTCTCTAAAAATTATTACAATCCAAAAGTTATGAGATGGCTTACGAGCTTGAGCCTTGATCATTCCTGGGAGCTTTATCTTCTTGACAGTAGCATTCTTATTAGTCTTTGATTTGCTATAAGTGCCAGCTCCAGGATTATTCAAATAGCTTGGATCACTATAAGGAGCCTCAACACTTGAGTTCAGAAATCTGGTGTTCTTCACAGAGGTTGATCCAAAACTTTCAGGGATATTTTTGATAACACGATGAATCCCAGTGTGCTCGCTTAAGTAAGCTCCAGGTCCAGGAGTATGTGAGATCTTTAGCCCTCTAATTGTCTTTGATGTGAAGATACTGCCTACAAATTAAATCAAGGATTACTATTGCCTTTATTATTTTAAAGCTTTACTTGCTATAGATGGTTTTACTTCTACTGGATCCAGCTAAAGATAAAGGAAATATTATACCTGATATTGCGGATCAGCCTCTTCAGCAGAAGGGAGGATTGTCCTAATAAAGCTCTCCATATAATTTTTCATTGATCCTATATTCTTGGCTGTATTCGGCCCGAGAGATATAGAAGGAACGCTCTTTTGAATTGAATTATAGTTAGGGTCATATTTTCCTGGGCTAAGATCAATTTCTATGGCACCGTTAAGAGAAATGAGCAAAATAAACCCATTAGAAATAGAAATGTACCTTTATTTGACTTAAAATTTTTAGGCTTTCCTTTTGTCAAGGGAGATAATGAAGACTTCATTGGACTTTTTCTAATCATTTGAGTTCTCTTTGGCTTAGCAGTCATTTCCATCTCATTAGAATGATGAGAGATCAAACTTCCACGAGGGGAATCAAATCTTGTTGATCCTCCTCTCTCATTTAATGGATTAAATTTTGGAGCTTTACTAGGAGTAGCCTTTATTGTATTTGAATTATAACTATAACTTCCTGGACCAGGCAAACAGTTTATTTGAGGGAATTCTTCCCCAAACCTTGTTGATCCAGAACCAAAAGGTATTTTTCTAAATATCATCAGAAAGGACTACCCATGGTTGTGACTTTCATGTTTCCCGCTAACATTGATATCATATCTGCCTGGAGCTGCAGATTGCTCTATTTCAACTTGGTGAGGTTTCCAGAATTCAGTTTTTCTGATTTCTTTCTGCATTTTATTTCTCAATTTATAATAATAATTAAGGGGTTTTGGGGTTTTGGGGTTTTGGGG